GCACCCTCGCCGCCGCCGCCCTCGCCTCCAGCCGCGCCGCCCCCGTCACTGCCGACCTCGCCGCCGCCGCCCTCATCTCCACCCTCGCCGCCGCCGCCCTCGCCGCCGCCGCCCTCGCCGCCGCCGCCATCCCCGCCGCCGCCTCCGCCGCCGCCTCCGCTTCCGCCTCTGTCGCCCTCGCCTTCCCCGCCACCATCTCCTGCTCCGCCGCCTCCGCCGCCGCCGCCGCCGCCGCCGCCGTCGCCGCCAGGGGTGACACAGCCAAACCCACCGCCGCCGATGCCGCCCTGGCCGCCGGGGCAGCAGCCAAAGCCTCCCCACCCACCCCTACCGCCGCCGCCATGGCCCCCGTCCCCGCCGCCGCCTTCGCCTCCCGCGGCCCCGCCCTCGCCGCCGCCTTCGCCTCCCGCGGCCCCGCCCTCGCCGCCGCCTTCGCCGCCGCCGACGCCGCCGCCGAAGCCGCCGCCGACGCCGCCGCCTCTCTCGCCTCCACCAACGCCGCCGACGCCGCCGCCGACGCCGCCGCCGACGCCGCCGCCTTCGCCTCCCGCGGCCCCGCCCTCGCCTCCGACCCCGCCGCCTCCGACGCCGCCACCGAAGCCGCCGCCGCTGCCGCCTCTCTCGCCTCCCGCGGCCCCGCCCTCGCCAGCGACCCCGCCGCCTCCGACCCCGCCGCCGCCGACGCCGCCGCCGCCGCCGCTCGCCCCACCCCCACCCTTCTACGCCGACTTCGTCGAGAAGCTCGGCGGGACGGTGCGGACGGGGTACGAGACCGTGGCGCCCGTCGTCAAGGAGCTGGAGAAGGAGCTGGGCGTCCCTGAGCGGTCGCTGGAGTTGGCGCTGGGAGTAGCCGGGTTGCTCTTCCTGGCGCTCTGCTTCTCCCGCTGCTGCTGCTGCCGGCGGCGCGAGCCGCCTCACAAGCGGCTCGTGGAGTCCGACGAGGAGGAGGCGGGGGGCGGCAAGCCGAGTCCGCGGCGGCCGAAGCGCCGCTCAGATGCCATGCCGTTCTTGCCCTCAAACCGTTCCGCAGCGGAGCTGGAGCTGGAGGAGCAGGTGGCGGAGCTGCGCCTCTCCGTGAGCAAGGCCGCAGAACTGGCGGAGCAGGTGGCGCACACAAACCGGTCCGCAGCGGAGCTGGAGCTGGCGGAGCAGGTGGCGGAGCTGGAGCGGCGCCTCTCCGTGAGCAAGGCCGCAGAACTGGCGGAGCAGGTGGCGCACACAAACCGTCCCGCAGCGGAGCTGGAGCTGGCGGAGCAGGTGGCGGAGCTGGAGCGCCGGCGCCTCTCCGTGAGCAAGGTTTTAAGGCCGGAAGTAGCATCACTCGTTCAGGTGGCGCGGGCCGCGAGGTCTGAGCGGGAGTCGTGACACTGACAGACAGAGGCGCCCCCCTCGTGACGCCCCCGGGCGACGAGCGGGGCGGCGGGCGGGGTGGCGCGGGGTCGTGTCAGACTAGTGCAAATACGGGTGCTGACTGCTGTGGAAATGATGAATTTTGATGTGTTTTTGTCCGTGTTGCTCCCAGCGCCCTCGCCCGCGCTCTCTGAGGCCATGGTACGGTAGGGGGTGGACAGCGTCCTAATCTAAAATCTTGTGCAAAACGTCGGTCTGTGGCCTCGAGTGCGGCAGTAGGAACAAGCAAGCTCTTCCAGCAGAGCACATCAAGGCCGCGGTCTAGGGACTAGGCTCGTACACTCCGTGCGCCCCGCGCGGCGGCCGCCCCTCGAGCGCAACCAGCTTCCTCGCCATGCCTTATCGAGCGCGGAGAAGAGAAAACTTGTGAAGTTTTTCGTCCAGTGACTCTCGTGAGCCGTAGAGCTCTACCATACAACCATGTTCAAACTCCGCAACTTGAATTCGATCTTGATCTCGCCTCGCGTCGGCTCGTCCTCGTGGGCTGGGGCTCTCTCTCGCGCGCACACGTCTGACGTCTCGCTCTTCGGGGGACGAGTGTTCGTGTTGCCAAGCCTGTTGCACACGTTGCAGATGCACTGCCACTGGGATAGCGGCTTGCATAGCGGATAGGGGGTCGATTCCGCATATGGCACGGGAACATCTGCCTGGAGGGGTCGATGTTGTGCTTGCTCAAAAGGTGCGCCGGCGCTCCTCGCGACACGCGACACGCGAGAGCTCGTCCGAGATGATACAGGAACTCCACCCCCATGGGTGCAGGGTGGGGGGCGTATGAGGTATGTGTATGTCAAAGGCACATAAAGGGCGAAGAACCGCTCTCCCCTTTTGCGCAGCAAACATACCTCAAGCTTACATTCAACGAAGTGAGAGAGAGAGTGAGAGACAGAGAGTACTTTATCTACTTAGTGTTCCGCGAGACAAAACAAGCCTTCACGAGAGATCGCTACCATGGTACACGTCATCCATCTTTGATCTGCACGCGCTTCAATCGCAACGGCTCGACCGCGGAGGCGCGGATCCCAGCAGTCATCCCCTCCAGCCTCGAGCGCGAGCGTCGCTATAAGACATGAATCGGCCGTTCTCATGGATTGGCCGGCCGGCTGAGTTGGTCCGTACGCCTGAATTAGAGGACGCTTCGCCACCGCCCCAGTAAGCGTCGCGGATTGCCTGACGCGAGTGGCCCTGGCCACCCATTGCGCGCTGGTGGTCATTCCACGCGTTTGCCCTCGGTTCTGCGCGCTGCTGCGCTCTCCATTCGTCCTCTCTCTCTCTCCGCTCCGTCAATTCCGCCAACCTCTGCTGATCCGCCCTCCACCTCCACTCCTCCCTCTCCTGCTCCTCCGCCAACCTCTGCTGCTCCGCCCTCCACCTCCTGGCGAGTAGAGACCACGCCTCACTTTTGCACAGGGGGGATCCGTCTGCGCATGCTCGAGCCCCCGGCGAGGGCTTGTGCTGTGAATAGCAGGCGTGGTCTCTACTCGCCAGCTCCACCTCCACACCCAGCTCAAAAGAAAAAGAAAAAAGGCAATGAGGAGACCAGCGGGGGAGACTCCCCGCCTATGCAATCCCAGAGAGGGGCCGCCATCGCCGAAGCTGTGCCAAAGCATAACTCCAAAACCCGCAGCGGCCCAGGGGGCCTTGGGGGCAGCCTGCCGGACCGCCGCTGCACGGGGCTAGGCACCAGAAGATGAGTGGAATTGATGAATTGGGCCGTTGTCCGTGCCTCCCCTCTATACGTCAGAGTGGGACCTACACCGCGCCGGGTAAGGGGCGCGCCCGGTCCTCGACGGAGCCGCGTGCCCCAAACGACCCAGGCGGCGAGTAGTCGTCCTCGAACCTTCGACATGTATGTAGTTGCCCATAGTTAGCGCCCGCCCGCCCCCCCCTCCGTCGCCGCGCAAAAGAAAACGAAAAACAAAAAACACACGAAAAGAAAAAACGAACCCAAATCCATTGCGTGAACGGCGTCACAAAGCTCGTCGGTTTTGATTGACAACCGCTTGGATTCAAGACCGACTCAAATGCTCTAGACTAAGTCGGTCTTGATTTGAGCTCAAATGCTGCCCTCTTCCGTCTCGCTGCGCCGGCCTCACAGTCGCAGAAAGCGGGCGAGGTCGCCGCCCGCGCCGCCTGTATGTATCGGCCCGGAGTGGCAGCGACTCCACCGCTTCCCGCTCACGGTCAGCGCGGCGGTCGCTGGAGTCTCACCGAACGCCAATGGTTCGTGGACTGCCCACCACGATGCCAGCACGGGAGAAATGTTCCTCTTCAACTCATCTACCAACGCCACCAAGACCCTGCTGGATTCGCCGGCGCAGCAAGCGCTCTCGACCCGACTGGCAGACGGGGAGGCGCGTCGCAACGTGGTGGCGGGCAACGCGGTCGAGGGCGTGGAAGAGCGCAAGTGCCGCCGCCTCTGCGAACGCCTGAAGTCGAAGCGCGTACTCCCCTCGCCGGCACCCCAGTCGGTGCAGCGCGCTTTGCTGCAGAGCACCATCGCGGCGCTCCCGTCGCCCGAGGTGCCCGTTGCGGAGCCACTGCGGTCCACCGACCTGCCGCCGCCGCAGTCCGCGTCGCCACCGCCGCCACTCGGCCGCGCTGCGGCTTCTCTCGGCCGCCGCCGCAGGCAGCGGCCGCCGCCGCTGCAGGTTCCTCACGACCTCGAGGGAGGCAGGGAGGCGCCGTTCTGAGCATCGCTGTCGCCGCTGCTGTGACTGCTCCGAGCACGCGGCGTAGAGGGGGCTACTAGGCGCCTGTGCAGTGCGGCTGTCGGGCTCTGGTTGGTCGAGTCTGTGATGCGGCACCTGGGCTCTCGGCGGGGCGCGCGTTCGTTGTTTGTTTTTTTCTGGAGGGAGTTGTTCGGCGAATTCTTTTTCTGCCTCTTCCTATCTCTCTTCGCAGTCTCTCGCCGCTTCTCGCTGCAACCTTCATGCCACCTCGCGGTCGTCCCACTCTCGTCGTTCTCTCCCTTGTCGTTTCCTCCTCTGTCGCGTCGTTCTCTTCTGCCTCGTCCTGCGACGCCGCCGCCTGCCGGTCCCTTGTTCTCGCGGCTTCTTTCGCCTTTGTTGCCAGAGATAGATCTTTTCATCCACCTTGGCACAGCAAAATGGCGAAGGCGCCCTACCCCACACCGCTCCGCTCGCGTGCCTCCGCCCCAGGGAAGCTGATCCTCTTTGGTGAGCACGCCGTGGTGTACGGTCACACGGCGGTGGCCGTGGCGCTCTCTAGCATGCGCGTCACCGTCGAGGCCGAGCTGTGTGACGATGGCGACGGGACGCTCGAGGCGACGCTGCACGACCTGCCGAGCGCGTGCGGCAGAGGTCCTGTGCGGGCGGACGTGCCGCTGTCGGCGCTGGCCGCCGCTATGCTCCCGACCCGCGCCTCGGAGGAGCGCAGCGACGATGGCTGGCGCACGCCGCTGGCCGCCGGCGCTCGCGTCATCGAGGCACTCCACCGTGAGCTGGGCGGCGCGCCCGAGGCGGACAAGGCGGCGCTGGTGCCGCTGCTCTTCCTCGCCGCGTCGCTGCTCCCGCAGCTCGGCGCGCGAGTCGGCGGCCGGCTGCGCGTCGGCGTGCGGTCCGCCGGCTTGCCGGTCGGCGCCGGGCTCGGCTCGTCTGCCGCCTTCAGTGTGGCGGTGGCGGCGGCGCTGCTGCGGCTGCAGCTGCTGCTGCGCGAGCGGCTCGGCTCGACCGCCGCCTCGGACCTCGCTCTGCTCGAGGGCGGGCCGCGAGCTGCCGACGGAGCGGCGACGTCAGCAGAGGCGGGAGGCGCGAAGGCGGGAGGAGGACGGTCGGGAGCAGGCGGGTCGGGAGGGCGGGTGGCGGGCACTGGGGAGGAGGGGTGCCGTGAGGCCGAGACGAGCACGCCGTCGAGCGCCGCGCGCGAGCTCATCAACGGCTGGGCCTACTGCGCCGAGTGCGAAAAGCACGCGCCACCCCGCCCCGCCTCGCCATGTCCGTGACACGTCCACGACACCGTCCCGCAGGTGCATCCTGCACGGCACTCCGTCCGGCCTCGACAACGCCGTCTCGTGCGAGGGCGGAGGGATGCGGCTGCAGGTGGGCCCCGCCCGCCTTCCGACCGCATGTGGCGCCCCCGCAGACCGCCAAGGGAAAGAGACAGCGACGGCGCTGACGCCAGCGCTCCACCGCCAGCCCTCCCCTCGCTGCACTGCCCCTCTCCCCTACTGGCACCGGCTTCGGGACGCGGCTCTGACCCCCCGCCCCGCTCCCTCCGCAGCGGGCCGGCCGGGAGAGCGGCGCGGCCCTTCGCTTCGAGCCGATCGCCTCGCTACGGCCGATGACTGTCCTGGTCACCAACACCAACGTGCCGCGCTCGACGCGGTGCCTCGTCACCTCGCGTGCGAGGCTCGCTAGGGCCCTCCCTCAGCCTTCGCGGAGCCTTCCCGCAGGCGCCTCGTGGCGAAGGTGCGAGCGCTGCGCGACGCACAGCCCGCCCTCACCGAGGCCCTCTTCGGCGCGGTCGCCTCCGTCGCCGAGGCCTTCCTCGCAGCGACCGCCTCGTCGGAGGCGCGGCAGAGGCGCGGCGGCTGGCGGGGCGTGTGTGCACGCCCACTGCACGCCCGCTACGCGCAACTGTAGGCGCGGCTCAGCGCGGAGCTGCCCGAGCTCGTGCGAATCAACCACGGCCTCCTCGTCTCGCTCGGAGTCTCTGGCGCCCCCCTCGCCGCAAAGGACAGGCCCTTTCCGGGATGCGTCCACGACACGTTATATGCCCCGCAGGCGCCGCCCTCGAGGACGTCGTCGCCACCGCCGCGGAACACGGCCTCGCCACAAAGCTGACTGGCGCCGGAGGAGGCGGCTGCGCAATCTCCGTCGTCGGCGTCGGCGGCGCCGCCAGAGGCGAGGCGAGCAAGTCGGCGGACGCCGCGCGGCGCCGCCTCGAGGCCAAGGGCTACAACTGCCACCTCACCTCCGTCGGCGGCGATGGCGTGCTCTACCACGCCCCGCAGGCTGCGGGCGAGACGGCGGCGCGGGCGGCGCCGTCCGGGGGGCTCGCACGAGCGGCTGCCGCGGCCGCAGCGGTGGTGGTCGCGGCCGCGCTCGCCGCCGCAGCCGCCGCGCGGTCGCACGCGACTGCCTAAGACGAGTGGCGTCGCGCGCGGCCTATCGTACACTATGAGTGAAGGTGGTCCCGTGAGAATTGAGGCGCGCGGGGCGTAATGTACCTATAAGAGGTTGGGAGCGAGAGAAGCCCGACGTCGGTGCCATTCCTCTGTCGAATAAAAAAGTCCTGCCGGCTCGTCTCCCTACCCCAGATGCGCCAGACGAGGGGTGGTGAGATCAGGGCGGGCCGCTACCCCAGGTGCGCCAGACGACGAGCGTCCATATTAACCGGGGAAACCGCGCCGGTGGGTCCGATCTCCGGCATTGCGCATTGTTTCCGCGCACGCGCACGTGTGCGTGTCCAGTTCTCACCTCTCATGTCACCTCTCTACCTACCACCTACCTCGCATCGTCCAGGAAAGGGACCTCCTCACCACGCAGGTACACCAAGACGTCCTCCTCTGGCAGGGAGTCTTCGAACTCGATCACCACGCCGACACTGCCGATGACGCAGTTGATGCCTATCTTGAACCCTTCCGGCGGCGTCTCGTACGCGTATGGCAATTTGTGCCTCGTGAAAAAGCTCATAGCCTGGCCCTCGCCTCCGCAGAATTCTTCGTCGTAGTCGTGCTTGCCGCGCTCGTAGATCTTGCAGGTGTGCCCGTCGGGCGTCGTGACGTAAACGTTCACTTCGACCTTTGCGTCCTCGAGCTGCAGCGAGCCCATCAGCGGGGTGCCATCTTCCTCGCAACCATCGTAGTCAAATCTGCTGAGTGGACCGGCCCAGGACTCGATCGAGCCTCTTGGGTAATGCGCTCGCTCCTCCTCGTCGGTAGAGAACCACGTGTCCTCATGCCAGCCGACTCGCTTGGCCTCGATCGTAAAGGTGAAGTCTTCCAGCTTTGCCCCCTCGATGGTGCATCGCGGTGGTGGCGATACGGCAGCGCCACGCAAGCGCTCCACGGTCTGCTGCAAGAGAAAATGCTCCCGGCAAGGCAGGCGTCCCTTGCGCACATAGGCCAGCGGCTCGACTCGCTTGCCATTGTGGTCACGTTGAAGAGCCCTGCTCAGCTGCAGCGCGGGAAAGCGAGCCTCGAGCAACCGCCGCCATGCTGGCTCGAATGCCAGCAGCGGCTCTCGCCACCCGTGGCACACCCCGAGCATTGCGACGAGCTCATGGCTGCCGTGGCCCTTGTTTGCAAAGCGGCCCCAGCCGCGCTCTTCAGCGGCATCCCACGCAGCAACGATGCGCGCTATGACAACAACCATCTCTGCAGGCAAGCGAGCGACTGCGGGCTCAAAGATGGCGAGGCCCTCCAGACCGGCGACAATATCATCGGTCCGAAAGTCGCGCCCGTCGACACAGGCTGCTACTGGCGCCGCCATAGGGTTGGACGATGTACATACGTACTTTTAGCTTACTGGGAGAAAAGAGAGAGGGGGTTGTGTTCTCTAGGCCCCTAAGGGCCCTACGCGCGCGGCGTGAGAGCTCGGAAGCGAGCTTTGCACGGCGATCGAGGATGGCACGGTTCACCCCCTTCACCGAAGCGATGGAGATGCGTTCCGCGTGGTGTGACACAAATGAGAGGCGGGAGTGGGGAGGGTACGCGGTGCGGTCAACGCCCGAGCGTTGAGCCTTGCGCGCAAGGCGGTTGATCGTTGCAACTGCTGGCGGCGAGAAGCCGCCGCCGAATGTCTCGTGGAGAAGCAGGTTGAACTTGTTTCGTTTGGTGAAGATCCCATCATGGTAGTGGCCACGCTGTGACTTGACGTAGCCTTGGCCGGTGGTGTGGTCGAACGCCCGTTGACCACGGAACCCGAGTTGCTTGCAGCCCATGTTTGCAAGGCGGGCGCGCTCTCTCTCTACGATGTAAAGAGACGTTTTCGGCCCGGCCGGTATCGAAACACCAAAAGAAAGAAGAACCGCGAAAGCAGGACGGCACGCCGCCACCACACAGGGATTTAAGGATAGAAGAGTGTGTGGTGCTAGCTAGCCGTCTCCGATGTTTGCCCTTGTGCATCTGCCTCTGTCTACCTTGAGCACTTGAGCACTGGATAGGGTCGATTCCGCATGGTACGGGACCCCTCGATCGTCTCGCCCTCCCTCGCTGGTGTGTTCATCGGGGGGTCATAATAAACACGGTCTACCTATATCTCTCGTCGCAGTCTCTCGCAACTTCTCCCACCGACCTTCGTTTATGCCACCTCGCGGTCGTCCCACTCTCGTCGTTCTCTCTCCAGCAGTCAGTCAGTCAGTATTAGCTCTTACACACCTCCTAGCATGGAGGACGGGCCCACACGCACACACACGCTACACACGATTGGCTCGGGAGCCGACACGAGGCACGCTATCACCGGCCGTAGCACTGGGTCCGGACTGCTGGACGCACAACACACAGCTCACAGGACAGCTCACGAGGTGGCGCTATATAGTGGGGTTCGCGGGGACTGGCGCAGGAGAAGAAGGTGGGGCACAGGGATGGGGCCACAGAACTCACGAACTGACAACCCACCCCGCGCCGGGGGCGGTGGCGCGCGCGAGCGCCGAGATATTGTCCGGGGAGAAGCGGTGCAGCTGCGGCACAATGCGGTTGACGCACTGACCTGCCGGAGTCAGTCCATCGCCCGCACATGCGCGCCGGCCTTGAGGTGGTTCCACCAGTAGCTGGCCCAGGGGCTGTGACCCTGCGCAAAAGCGCGCAGGAAGTTGCCGAGCGCGCGCCCTAGTTAGTCCTAGTAGGCCCCGCTCGGGGAGTTGAAGGCGGCCGCCGTGGTGCGCGTAAGGGTTCTCTCTCCTGCCCGGTTAATTTTCTGGAAAAATCCCATTTTCTTCTTAGTGTTGACAGGCCCCGGAATGAACAAAACGGACATCCCACCCAAGCTAGGCCTAGGGCTGGGTGGAGGACAGTGTTGTGCGAGGCGCGCGAAAAATTCTTTTGCAGTGAGTGCGCGCCAGTGGCCCCGTGCCCAGTGTGAAGAAAGTAAAGAGGGATGGGAGGAGCACAGGGTCGCCAGCTACAGGATTTTGTGTTGTGCCAACTTCGAGGACTTGCACGGATGAATTTCTTTCCACATGGTGAGCCTGTGTGTGTGCCAGTCCGCGCCAGTCTGCGCCCTTGTCGTGCCAGTGTGCTGTGAGAGAGGCTTGTATCTTAAGAATTCTTTCCACAGATGCGGCGGCGCCGCCAGGGAAAGGCCGGCGCCCAAAGCGCTGCGCCGCCATGCCTTTCTGGTCGACGATCGTGCCGCCACCAAAGTTCTCTCTCGCCAACATGAGCAGGCTCCACCAGCACCTCCACGACACGGTTGTGGTCACCGAGCGCAACCGCGCTGCGGTCGTCGACAACCTGCGCACGATCGCGGAGCTTGTGCTGTGGGGTGACCAGAACGACCCGGTGCTCTTCGACTTCTTTCTCGAGAAGAACATGCTCGGCATCTTCTGGCGGCTTCTCGAGCAGCGCGAGACGCCCGTCTCTGTCAAGGTGCAGATGCTGCAGACGCTGTCGATTCTCATCTCAAACATTGAGGCGGGGCCCTCCATCTACTACATCCTCTCCAACGACCACATCAACGAGCTGATCCGCCACCCGTTCGACTTTTCCCACGAGGAGCTGCTCGCCCACTACATCTCCCTCCTCAAGGCCATCGCTCTGCGGCTCGACGAGCACACCGTCCAGTGCCGCCACCTCCAGCGCCTGCGGCGACGGGGCGGGAGCGTGAGCTCACGGCGGCGCGTTGGCCGCGGTAGGTTCTTCATCGGCGACTCGCCGCCGCCGCGCCGCTCCTCCTCCTCCGCGGCCAGCACCGACGCCGACGCCTCCTCGCCCCCTCCCGCCCCTGCCTCCGCCTCTTCCGATGCTCGGCCCGCTGGCGGCGGCGGCGGCGGCGGCGGCGGCGGCGGCGGCGGCGGCGGCGGCGGCGCGCCTCGCCGCCGCTCGCGCGAGTTCGCGCTCTTCGAGGCCGCCCCCTCCGCCCCGCCGTGCAGCACGGCCCGCGCCGCTGGGTCTGACCTGGGTCTGACCCCTTCCCCTCCTCTCCCAGGCGGCACTCACCCTATGGACGCACGAGGCACGCGGCGGCGGCGCGGCGCCACACCTGCTCGCTGGTCCGTTCTGAGCGGGTGATGATTCATGGATAGGAGCGGATGGTGAGGACGGCGGTGCCGTGCCCTCTGCGCCTTCCGCCTGCCCGGCGGAGGGCCCGCTCACCCCTCCAGCCGGGTGGTGTGCAGGTGCGGACGATCGTGCTCTCGGTCTGCAAGGTGGCAGAGGCGGCGGTGCAGGAGTACGTGTGTGGGAGCGGCACGCTGCCGCAGGTGCTGCTGCGGGGCGGCGCTGCTCGCCGAGCCCGACGAGGCGCTGCTCACACCTCTCCCGCCGTTGGCAGGTGCTCGTGGCGGCGCTGCTCGCCGAGCACGAGCGTGCGAGTGTGGCGCTGGCGCGGCGAGAAGGCGCCTCGGCCGAGGTGGAGTCTGCACAGCGACCTGGCATTCACAGCTGGCGCGCACCCGCAGGCGCCTCGGTCGAGGCGGTGGAGGAGAGCTTGGGCAGGCTGCTCGACGAGGCGCGCCCCGCCGTCACTCAGCTCCGAGATCGCCCCGAGATCGCTGACGCCCGCCGGCGCACCTCCAAACCCTGCTGGAGACCTCAAACCCTGCTGGAGACTGCAAGAGGACCGCCCCCGTGAGACGTCCCCCTCGCCCCCTCCCCTCCCCTCCCCGGGCAGGTGTACTTTGTCAACGACCTCCTCGAGGCGGCGCTCGAGCCTCTCGCGCGCCGCCTCTCCTCCGCCCTCCTCTCCTCCTTCGTCCTCCCCTGCCTCGCCGCTCCGCTCGTCCCGCACGCCCGCCTCGGAGGCGAAGGCCCGAGCCACGTCCTGCACGGCGGCGCGTCGGAGGCCGCGCCCTCGCCCGCCGGCGGCGAGGGGAGCGGCGAGGGGAGCGGCGAGGGGAGCGGCGCGGCGGGCGGCGAGGCGGAGGTCGTGCTCGCGCTGCTCTGCCTCGCCCTCTTCTTCTCGGCGAGACTGTCTCGCCGCCCTCGCCGAGGACGTCGCAGTACGGCCGACCCGTCTCACGCCGCCACCGCCGCCGGGCCGCATGTCCCTTCAGACGCCCCTCTCCCCGAAGCCCTTCCCACCCTTTTTCCTCCCCCTCGGGTCCGCATTAATACAGATTCCACTCCGGAAATTCCCCCTGTCCTGTCCTCGCTCACTCTCTATCTTTTGTATTTTTTTCTCCTGCTAATAATTAATCAATTATTTTCTTCTTCTATTCGCCGTATTCTTTTGATTCATGTCATATCCATTCTTAC